TCCTATAAAATTGGAGAAAGACGGGTTCAAATGCAGCAACATGGACATTGAGGATCCATTTAGAGGATTCCTCCAATTTACTCGCGATGGAGGTGTAGCTGTTGCTGGTGTTGCATAAGAGAGCATCTGTCTTAACCTTTAATGAAATAAAGTCAGAACTTTGAGCCCATGTTTCCAATATCTGTTTTGTCCCTTGTGTAACCATTTATATAGACAGTATAAAATACTTTCCCTGACCTTCTTTTAGATTAAGGCCATTTATGACAAACTTGATCCATTTCCAACAGTTACTGGATTTTGTGATATATTAAGAAGCGATGGCATGGTTTGAACAAGAATTTTTTCTTCAGCTTAGGTGCCTCTCCATTGCCAGAAAATGTGCATATTTATTCTGGTAATACTTCTCATTTGGAAGTCCTACCTACTGAGAAGTTATCTTTATGCACATCCCTCTCTTTTGTTGTCATGAGCCACTGGAATTCAACATTTTCACTTGAATTCATCAGTCTATCTTTCACCTCTAAGTAAATGTTTCTTCCCAGAAAATTGACTCGTTCATTCGTTCCCTGAACAACAGAGATATTCAGTTTGAGTTGTTACTGTATAATCCATTCAACCTTGGCATTTTAGAGAATTCCTCGTATATCTCGTAAGACTTGTAGCTTAGAATTGACCGATAGGGCATGTCAAGAGATGGAATTTACAGTCTATTGTCGTGTTTTTCTGGTGTTTGGTTAGTAAGGAGAAAGTATTCCCCCGAGAGCATATAGGTATATAATTGGTAAATGCCATTATTTTTAGGTGAACCCTCTACTTCAATGGGCCTATACTTGGAATTCTGGATAAGAAGTTGAAATGAGAATTTGTCATAAAACATGGCCATACGAAATCTAATCAATGAATTAAGATATGTGGTGAGAAGTGAAACACAAGCTTAAAATAGTCCAATAGTCTAAACCATGTAATGATTATTGGGTGCACCTCTACAAATTAGATGCCACTTGTTTTTTTTTTTTTTGGTCTGGTTTATCTTTTCAAACAATCCAATTGTCATATCATAATTAAACCAAATATCTATATTCAAATTTAATAGTAATAGAGGTTGTAGCATTATACTCACATGATCTCAATATTTTCAACATGGAGTACATATAAAATGTCAAAAATCACAAAAAAGAAGAAGTTAATTTTGAACACTCTAATTTCTTAAGTGTAATGGATTCAATAGTAAGAAATATTCCGTATTTCTGATGTTTGGTGTGACAATAAAAAAGAAGATTAAAAAAATTTGGCAAAAACCCTTTGGGGTGGCCCAGTGGTTTGGGCTTGGGACTTCCATGTTGGAGGTCTCAAGTTCGAAACCCCTTGCCAGTGAAAGTAAGGGATTTGCCTTCTGGGTCGAGCTCGTCGCACCGGGCTTGCCTAGTGTGGGTTACCTCTCCTATGTGATTTGTGAGCTATTGCATAGGAGCGGGGGTTTTACCCTATGCGCATCCAAAGGGTAGCGGCTGTGGATTTTCCTTTGTCATCAAAAAAAAATTTGGCAAAAGTTATTGAATAAACAAGGAGATAGCGTGAAAGAAAGTGAAGTGTATTTTATTGTGTGCTGAAAGAATGGAGACAATGATATGAATTTGGATTCTCCCACACATGCAACATCTTAATATAGAATTTCTTTGCTAATCATCCTTCCTCTATAATTATTTTTTTATTAAACTAATCACCTTTTTGAAATTAATCATCAAATTAATAATGAATATCTTACGTACTGTCCCTTAGATGTATATATATGTTGAGACATCAAATACCTTTAAGCTCGTGTTTTTTTTAAGTCTTTTAATTAGCGCATTTTCTTTTCTTAAAATAATTAGAGCAAGAATTTTCCAAATTAGTATGACGGCTAGAGTTTACATAAAATATACTTTGCATCTCCTCGAATTCTCAATGACTGATGACACGAGTCGTGATTAACGCAGATTCATTTCCGAAAAAACAAAAAGAATTTCTAAATCTCCTAATATTTACTCTTCAAATACTATATGGAGTAACAAAGCTAAGGTACAGTTTTAATTAAACATATTAAAATACGTAGAAAGTAATTAAAGAGGAGCTCTCTATAAAAATACAAGATTCCGATCTGTGTTACTACTTTTCTATTTTATTTTCCTCCTTTTAACACTTCTATTTTTGTTGCACATAAATCATAATGATGGTAACCATATTGGTGCACGCTGCTAGGACCTAGTATTGATCTATGCAATACTATTCCCTTTTAAACTTTCCGAGTTTCGGTTAATTTGAATTTTTGTTCCGAGTTATCCCTAAAAATAATGTTAAAACAAAGAATTCTGATTAAATTAGAGTAAATGAATCTCAATCATCAAACTATACTGGCCAGTAAGGAATGCAATATAGATATCTACTTGATTTGATATTTAACGTCTATTGATCTGACTAACTTGAATTTATGTCTTGTAATCCCTTAACACTTTTCAAAAGTTTTTCATTTTTATGATTCGAATAAAAACCTCTAGTTAAACAAAGCAAGGAAGAGTATGGGACAAAGGAAAAAAGAAATAATTGGAAGATCAAATGGGAAAAAGAACCCTATAGAAAAATCATTATTAGATAAGATTGGGGGTGGAGGAGGGGGGGGGGGTGAGGTGTGATATATCATATAAGTAGCTGTAATATTCCTATATGAAGATAGAATGGTGTTGGCAATCACCATATATGTCTTACCTTTCAGCATCAACAAAACCCCACACCTCTAAAGATTTTTATACTTCAATGGCTAAAATCCAACTACATTTATTTAATTTAATTAAATAGAGATGGAATGAATCATATATAATTGCTTTTTTTTTCTTTATAAAAGAAAAATAATTCAAGATTGATCCTTCTTTGCAAAAAGAAGAGAGTAGAAAGCGCAAGAAGAAGCCAAGCTATTTAGATCTTAATTTGGTTCCAAGAATTGACATTTTATGTGTTAAAATGTTGAAAAAGGGAAAAAAAGGGCAGATCGAAATTTAAAACACGTTCTTTCGTCTCTATTCATGTGACATATTTTTTTTTTTTGTCTATTCCAAAACATATTATACTTTCTGATATAGAAACAAAACAATTTAAATATAAATTTCACATTTAACTTTAATGGAGTATATATATATATATATATATATTATATAATATATATATGATGACACAATTTTCTTTAAACCATAATTAAGTGAGTTAAGCTCAAAACATGAGTTTGGTGATATGATATTTGCAGAGTGTGGTGGACCAAACCAAACAGTTGCTTAGCCAAAAGTTGTGTGCAAAAGACAATTCTACTGTTGCCAATTTACTGTTCTATTGATGCTCATCATTTTAATTTTTTTTTCATCATCTAAAAGTAACCATCCCCTCAACTAGTTTTGACCAAAAAGAGTCTTTCCGTAAGTTTTTTTTTTTATTCATTCGTCTCCATTTATGACATTTTTTTATTTGACTAATATCATCAAACATTTTATACATATCAAGTCCCACTTATGTGACAAAAGTCTACAAAGGTGTAAATATTTTAAAAGCCGTTTTGAAACATTGTAAAGTGTTTTCATATTTTTCAACTTTTGTACTCAGTCAAATTACATCAGGTAAATTGAAATAGAATGATTATTTTTCAAAGTTTCAAACTCAAATGATTGTACAGTAGGCAGGTCCTCCATCAATAGCAGACATGAATAAGAGGGGTTGATTTGTAATTTCATAAGGGAATAGTTCCAATTTATATACTGTAGGGCATAAAAAAGATGACTGACAAAAATAAAAAGATTTAATTATTATTATGTACTAATACATTATTGTATATATGGATCTGCTGATGGCACTGTTGGTAATGTTGCTGTGCATGTATTTATGCATGCAAATTTACTGTGCTCTCACATGAATTCAAATAGTGATTTTGTGATGTTTTTTTGTCTTCTTTACTAAATTACTTTCTTCCTTTTTTTTTTTACTAATTTATCTGACTTTTTTGTCCTCAGTCCAATTGTGATGTCTTTGACATGAATATATATATTTATTTATTTAAATTGGGATGAGTAGGAAAACTAAGTGGGCATATATTGAACATAAAAATTTAAATATTATTCACTTTATTTGAAATTTTAAAAGTTGAATTTGGAGCTTTGAATCATACAATCAAATATGTTTTACAAGAGTATTATCTCAGAATGGATAATCACGTAATATTATATATTAGATCTTCAATACAAGATTTTGAGTGTTTCGAAATTTCAAATACAACTTCAAACTGCATTTAAAATTTTATAGTCAATTAATTTTTTATACATATACAATTATAAATCCCTTCAATATAAGAAAAATATAAAATAGTACATATATATTAAACAAATATTGATTGTGATGTAGTGGTGACTACTCCACCCTTTATCAAAAGTCTCATGTTCGAGTCCTGGACATGGAGAAAATCTTGTTGGGAGCGTCACTCTCGAATGGACGCTGCAGAGCACGATCCAAATTTAATCGGTGCTCGAATACGGGTTCCAGACATCGAATGAAAAACAAAAAAATAAAAAAAATACATATATATTTAAATCTCTATTGTGACATTTTTGAATTTCCTTAATTTGTTATTTGTTAGTATTTATGACTCCACCATAACACAAATATTTAGTGAAATAATACTTAAAATAAGCAAAACTAGTCCGGAAACCACCGTTAAAAAAAAAATCTCTTTCAAACTACTACTCCCCCACCCCTATACCCCACTCCAAACCACACCAATTTTCAGCAGAAAAGCAAAGTTTATAAAGAGAAATCATTTTAATTTTTCTGCCCAACCCAATCTTCTTCATTGATTAAGAAGTTTATTAAGGTGAAGCTAAAACAAGTCTATGAAGAGAAAAAGCTGAAAGTCTAAAAAGCTATCTCTAGAGATCAAAAAAGCTAGCTTATGATACCTATATAGAAACCTTCTTTAATTTCTCCTTTTCACTCTCTTTCACTAATTTCTATACACAATTAAAAATCCATTTAAGTCATGTTTAATTCTTCATCAGACCCCTTCATGACTTCCTCAGAGCATAATGGAAACAATTGTATTAACAACAACAACAACAAAAGAAAAAGAAGGCCAGCTGGAACCCCAGGTACAATTCTTCAAAATTTTATTAATTAGCATCAGTTGTAACGTCTGCGTACATTTTATCCTTTCAGACCTTATTTGTGGGGTTTCACTGGATATGTTGTTAATTTAATTATTTTTTGTTTTTATAGATCCAGATGCAGAAGTGGTATCTTTATCACCAAAAACTTTATTAGAATCAGATAGATACATATGTGAGATCTGTAATCAAGGATTTCAAAGGGATCAAAATTTACAAATGCATAGAAGAAGGCATAAAGTACCATGGAAATTGCTAAAAAGAGAAACCCCTATTGTTAAAAAAAGAGTATTTGTTTGTCCAGAGCCAACTTGTCTACATCATGACCCTTGTCATGCTCTTGGTGATCTTGTTGGTATTAAAAAACACTTCAGGAGGAAACATAGTAATCACAAACAATGGGTATGTGAGAAATGTAACAAAGGATATGCTGTTCAATCTGATTACAAGGCACATCTCAAAACATGTGGAACTCGTGGTCATTCTTGCGATTGCGGTCGCGTATTCTCCAGGTCAGTTAAAAGATAACTATTTATTGCAATAGATTCATGACTATATTGTTAGCTCTAATGTTTTGGTCCTATTGATGAGTACTTCTATATTAGTTATAACTTATAATTGAGGTGTCGTTTGGTACGTAGGATAAGGATAATAATATTTAGATAAAATTTAGGATTAACTTTATTTTTGATTTAAGATATTTGCTATTGCAACACATGAAATATACTTGCTTATCACATTCCGCTTACAAAACAACCCAGCTTTGTGAAAAGGAAAAACAAAAGAGCGCAAAATGAGGAAGTTGTTTCCTTCTATGGGTATTTTATTTTTATACTATGTGTGGCTCCCAAAAACCAGGTTTATGTCATTCTTGATACTCTAAATTTCTCTATTTTGTTATACTTAGCATCTCAATCCTATTTCATTATTAACTTATAATTAAAATATAATATGTATTGGGTTTCTTCCTCATGATTATTTTATTAATTCAATGCTTCTATAAGGAATGTCTTCATTGACTTCTTCAGAAAATATTCTACTTATTGATTGAAAAAAAGTATGAAGATCTTTGATCCTATCAAAATAGTCCTTTTTTTGTTTTTTTTTGGTAAGGTGGGGGTAACCTTTTCATTAGTTAAATTAATTAAATGTGTGTTTATCTATTTATTCTATAGTTTAGTTAACACCTTTTTTTTATCTTTATTGAGTTAGACAGTACACTTTTATTTACTTAATTATATTTTCATATGTGCATCAAATTTAACGAAGCGATTCGACTTTGTGTAATTTAGGGTGGAGAGCTTCATAGAGCATCAAGACTTATGTAGTTTTGGAAGACTTCGATCAGAATCACAATCTTTAATACAATTACCATCAGCACCTTGCCTTTCTCGTACAGCTTCAAGTCCTAGCCCTTCAAGTGATCACACAAATAATCTCATCACCACTACTAATACAGTCCCATGGCCTAATTTTATTATGAATACTCCAAATGCCATAATAAAAAAACACAATTTAGAGCTCCAACTCTTGACTACTACTACTACAACAACATCTCCATCTAGCCCCTTTGATGTCTCCGTATCGTCAAAATCGCGCGATGATTATAATCTTCAACTCTCTATTGGTTCATCGGATCTAAGTGAGAAGAATGAGTCGGAGAATAATAATAATGACACACACAGATCGAGAAATGGTGTAGAGGGGTTGAGGCAGGCGTTAGCCGAAAAATTGTACGCGGAAGAGGTGAGAAAGAATGGGAGGAGAGAAATTGAATTGGCGGAGGAAGAATTGGGTAATGCAAGGAGAATAAGGAGACAAGCACAAATGGAATTAGAAAAGGCACAAGTATTGAAGGAAGAAGCAATAAGGAAAATTAATTTTACTCTTTCACAAATCACATGTCATGCTTGCAAACAAAAGTTCCAAGCTAAAAGGATAACAACAGCAAGTATAGTTCCTAATTCTCATCATGACCAAAATATTCATCTCAAGTATAGTACTTGCCCAACATCACTACACTAATTGTACTATATTGTATTTCTTCATCTCTACTTTGGATTTTTTTTTTTTTTTTGTTACATTTTTGGGCACTTAAGTTTGTTGTATGAATATAAGTCTAGTGTGGATGGTGCATGCTACTATGATGAACAACCTAATAATGTGAAAGTGAAATCTCTTGTGGTATGAAAATTTGTAGGGGTTCTTAATTTTATTACTTTTTTTCGTCTCAATTTATGTAACATATTTTTCTCGTAGTTTGTTTTAAAAGAACGGTAGATTTCTATATATTTAGAAATGGTTTTAATTTTAAAGTTTGTATTTATTCTTAATGAGTTGATTCATAACCATACATAAACAAATTAAAGAAGTATTACTATTGATTTATTTATTTTTGTTTTTGATATTTGATATTTATATTAAAGTCTAATTAAATTAAAATTACTCAAACCTAAGACTTTTAATCAATGATGGAGGAGTAGTGTTGAATATTGATTATTGATACTGTAAGTTTGTAGTACAATATAACTATTCCATTGAATTGAGTGAGCTGTGTGTTCCTTTAAATAAAAAGAAGAAGAAAAGGAACAGCTAGAAAACAGTGAATTAAATATATTATCTGAGTTTTTTGGTAGTGTTAGATTTTGCTTTTGGAGTATTTGAAGATCTTTGTTGGCTAAGGTGGTCAGAATTAAGATGGTGATGAACCCGCCCTGTCCTCTACTGCCATAATAATTATTGCATAAAATTATAGAAATATATATGTGTCTGACTAGTCAATGATGTGAGGTAAAAATAATATATGAGGTTAAGTTTTAAATTTCATCAAACATAGGTTATTACTTATTGTATTAATCTAATTGGAGGGCATAGTTCTTTTGTACTCCTGTTAACAAAGGTGTAATTTAATGTTTATGAGTTCTCAATTTGTCATTTAAGACCTAGCTTGTTTAGTTAAAGGTTTATAATTAAATATTTATGCACATTTTAATGGATTTCTTATTTATACATACGGTCTAAGAAAAAATATTACTTCATCAAATATTGTGTGGAATATTTTTATATGTTGATAGGAGATATATGTAAGCTGAAAAATAGTCAAGATGCATGTGCTTGAACTAATAATTGGTACAAATTAACGCAACCATTATTAAAGAAAATAATATCATTTTTATTTCATTTTATATTTTTTTATCCTTTTTGTTTCAATTTGTTTATTACGATGTATATCATTCTGGTCAATTTTCCTTATTGACTTTCATCTCTTTTTTTTTATATTTTATTTTAAGAAAACATATTTTTATAATTGAGAAATATTTATTTTCAAAATTCATATTTTATCCTTTATGACCTGCTCATATGTAATGCAACAATAAATTATTGGATATTGCATCATAAATTAGATTTTTAAAATTTTATACTACCTAGTTAAATATTGTCATATGAAATTTTCAAATAGTGATAATTGCAGAGAGATGGAAAGAGAATAGTGGTCCTTTTTTAACCCTTTGGTGCAGAAAAGTGATAAATGTAAGGGTAGAGGGAAGAAGAGCATGATTTTCAGTGCCAAAGTTATAGTGACAGAAAAGTCCCTCTCAAACCATAATTAGAGAGAAACAAAGTCCATTCAAGGTTCCTTATTTTGTAATTTCACAATTTTTATGAGAATCAGTAGCTAAATAGGGAGGCAGTGAGAGTAGACAGTATTCCTATTAGAAAGAGACTATAGCATCTTTCCTTTCCTGCACAACTCTTACTTCAATCCAACAAAATATACCATTCAAATCTAATTCTTTCTTAGACCAAAATGCCCCTATCCCAAAGTACTTAGTACTCGTAGATAATTGAAAAGGAGATTATAAAGTGGGAATTCGAACTTCTAATCATGAGATGAAAGATTTTTTAATTGGGGAAGAAAATTATAGGGTTGGGAATCAAATCTTCACTAATAAGGTGAAAAGTTTTCGAATAACTAGTCAACAAGAGTTATTAAGATTTGGTATGTTCCAAAGATTTCCACCCACTCTTTAATTCATTCAATGGTTTGACTCCATATTTTTGTACTTAAAACTAGCTAGTTTATATTCTCATATATACTTCAATCAAATTGCACTTATAACTAAATGAAAACCTATAAGGCTATAACCATAACAATAAAAATAGTTTTTAGCGGTAAAAAATATACATATTAATAAAGAGTGTTTTTAAAGTCTTTAATGATATTTAATTTCCTTAGTCAATTGTCATTAAATTCAATATTGCTATAAGATTAAGACATTTACAAAAAGTAATAATTATCGCTAAAAATACATATTTAACGACAATTAAGTTATTACTGTTAATTAATTACTGCTAAAAATTATTTTTAGTATAGTGAACTGGTGTTTAGAAATCAAACTCCAAAGAAAATTCAAGTTATGATAAGTGTCATTTAACTTGTTATATCAAGTTAATTATCATTTTTATCAAGCTATCAAGTATCAATTATAAATTTTCATAAGATTTATTTGTAATTATCTTATAATCAGCTATGATATAATATAAGTATTTTTTTTCTGAATAAAGGTAATACCTTATTTTACTTAAGGTGTATATGATTAAATTAAAGACAGAGTACTAAACTTACTGTATATATAACTGAACCATATTTTTTCTTGAGCGGAGTATCCACCGACCAATCGGGAACAATTTTTATAACTTTTTAAAATAAAAAAAGAAAATCAACCTACACTTCGCTATTTCTAAATTCTATTTGTGAAATTACAGTGAATATGTTTGTTTTAAGTTTTTTCTAAGACAAAAAGGAGAGTTTAGTGGCAATAAACAGAAAAAAGTATAGAAAAATGATACAATGGTAAAGCTCGTAGACTTGACAGTGTGAATCTTTTGCAAAAATCTCGATATTAGTACATCTCACCCCCTTCCCCCCTCCCAAATCTAGCTATGTAGCCTTACCATCAAATGAGGGAATTGCTTCAGGGTAGCTAGATGCACTAAAACTTTCGTTATGTATAAGATTCGGAAAAAAATCTAATCATAAAGATCTATTGTACGAGAATTGCTTAAGAATATTGATGTATAGTATGAAGTCTAAAGGGTCCTACAAGTTTGAGGGAAAGCATAATTTCCACTTGTTTCAGAAATGGAGACCCCATGTTTGTCTCTGTCTTAATAATTAATTCCATTCTCACCCAAATGAAATAGAGCAGTAAAATTTGTGCTAGCTGTTTTATTAGGTACGAAAAAAAAAACTTTATGTAACAATAAATTTTGTGTCTGAGAAATTAAATCAAAGACAAGAAAAATGTAATGTATTATAATATCTAATTTCCGTGTAAATTGAGTTGTTACAAGTCTGACAAAAATATCATGTGATTTTTCTTTTCAACCGTCTCTTGACTAAGATAGCATGATTCAGGGTCGTTCAAAATCGAACTGATAATATAAATTGATTTTTTTTATTGGTTTAGTGATTTCAATAATGATTTTGATTTTTTTTTTTATTATCAAGTTATTGATTCTTAACGGTTCGAGGTTTTTTCTTAATGGGTTAACTGACAACATAATAGTAAATTGATAAAAAAAACATTTGTACCATTCGATATATAGAGTTCTTGACTAAGGATATAGTTTCATAATTTTTATTTCTGGATATGTCTCAAACTTCTATCATTCTACAGTGTCCAGTGTTTGCTTTGAAGCAAGATGTAATCTATATCAACTCATATGCATGGTTCATTTGATTTGTCACCTTGTTTTTAAGTGATTTTTAATAATTTTTTTGTGTCAAATCTTAACAGTTAAACCGACAAAATCAATAATGATTAATTATCGATAACTGAGTTAATATCTTAATGGTTCTATAATAATTTAACATGTCTACACACAGATAATCGATAATTCGAATAAGAAGTTGTGAGATCTTACCTTATCAAAAGGACATATATCCATCTCAGAAGTACTCTTGCATCAATCAGTTAAAGACAATTGGAGGGGATGTATGTTTTACAAGAACAATAAGCTAGTGATTTGATGGAATTGTCTATATGGAATACTTTCGAAAATGTTCAATTACTATGTGGTATCCTTTTCTTTGCCACTATTTACAATATTTTACAAATCAAATAGAAAAAAACAAAAATTAGGCAACACAATGGCCTCTTTCCTGATTCCGTTTTCTTTGTGGAATATATGCAATAAATAGACACAACTTTGGATTATTCCAATGTGATCACCAAAGCGAGACAATATAGAAGAATCCCCCGCTAGTAAAATGTTGGTCTTATCTAGCTTTTGGCTTAACGATGATCGACATATTCGTGTACTGTGCGTGGGATCCATTTTTGAGAATGACGTTTTTAATATATATATTTTTTTCATTATTAAGAATTGAATTAGAGAATTTTGAATAAAGGTGGAGAAATCTCAACCATCTCACCACAATTCAAATTGGTAACAGTAACTAGTAACGGACAATTTATATTACCTAAATTAGTGGATTATGTTCCTATTAATTTTATTTCATTTCTTTTATAAACACATTAGGTCCGAGTTTAACAAAGTTGGTTTAATTCCATCATTTTACATTATCTTTGTTTTATGATCTGAAGGATATAAAAATATGTGAAGAATTTAGGAGGATAAAGATTTACTCTCGTTTTTCTATGTATTTATTTATCAATTTTCTTTTGTTATATAACCATTTTTGTATTTAGAACTCACTCACCCAACTAATTAAATTTGTGTCACATTGGCTCATTAAGGAAAACATTATTCTTATTAAAAGTTTCATTTCTATAATTTGAATTTGAAATTTCTAATAAAAAATATTAAAAAATCACAATATCCAAGATACCACACCACTTGGTGTCTAGTTATATGCAGCTTTTAAAAACACAATCAAATAATAATATATTTTTTTTAAAAAAAAATCAAATAAACAAGCAAACAAACAAAAATATCAGTGACCATACGTGAAGTTCATTATTCTATTGACAGTTTATAAGTGGGTCGTTTTTGTTGGG